TAGGGAAGCACTGAAGCTGAGAACAATCTAAAACAGAGAACTTTTTGGGGAGAGTGCTGGCTGGAGAGAGTCCTGAGATATTGAGCAAGGAACCTGTCTCCTGGTTGATTCCTACTGGGTTCAGGAAAACAGAACTTTTGAAATCTAAATATGGGGGATCAGATTATGAGCTGCTCAAATCAGCCGGCACAGCCCATGTGCGCTGGGAATAAGGTGGCATTAACCTTTCTTTATGCTGTCTGAATTTTGGACCTGGCTGGAGGGTGAAAATTAGAACAACCCCAGAGGCCTGGGCAGAAACAACTGAGAACATATTCCAAGTAATGTATTTGATTTTCAGCTACTGCAAAAATGTTTGTGAATTTCCTTGTTCTCTGTTACCACCTGTGACAATATGGTTCCCACCCATTTTTGCTCCCTATGTAATTTCCCCTAGGTATTTTCTATGCATACCACACCTTTTTCGTCCTTCCATCCTGACTCAGAGTTGTTGCCACATGTTGCCCCCCATAATCTTTTCCTAGCACAACTGGAAATACAGCATCAGCATAATCAGAAGCATTAAAACTTTCTGCAGAGAGACCAGGGTCCCAGTGTACTATCTGACACAATATTCCATGATGGATCATCCCAGAAAACATCTACAAATGTGTCACTTGTGACAATAAAGTCAAATATCATGCAACTTATGGGCTAGACATACTGTCATACTTCCTGACAGTGAGATGCTAGGTCCCAGAAAAATGAGAAATGGTCGCAACATTTTAGGGCATGCGGGTCAAATGGCACTGAAGTGAAATACTTGTCCTAGTTGTCAAAGGCTCAATGGAAATTGCTTCATATGACAAGTCTTTCGAATTGCCAAGCGGCATGCCTCATGCAATGAAATAGTGCAAACTGCCATTCCAGTTGTGGAAGCAATTTCTCTTTTGTTGTGCTATTTCAATATGTTCTGAAGTGGTTAATTAAAGAGAATACTTTAACTCTGAACATAACAAACTGTTTTGATTATGCTTGGTTTATTTCACAAATGAAAAACATCCATATAAAATATCAAAGTTAAGGAGAAAATACCTACATATAGCATCATATTCACTTCAGTCATTTATTCATGATCCTTAAGGTCCCCTCTTTGGCTATGAGGATACAAATCCATACTATCCCCAAGTGTTGGATTCTTTGCTCTTCGATTATGATTATGATCAGAAAGTAAAATCAGATATAGTTGTACAGCTTCCTATGGATTATTACAAAGGATATCTGTACATTGTTTATTCCACCTGCACATAGAATAAGTTAATTGAGATTTCTTGCTGATATGACTGCTTGAGGAAAGTCATGAGAATAAATGATGAATAAGAGGTCTTGATTTTGACCAAACATTGTGGCATTCTATCCCTCCTACAAAGAAGTAGGTAGCTGTCCTAATTCACAGCCTGCAGGATGCCAGGATGCTGTGAAGTAGTCATCTAAAGCAGGGCTCTCAACCTTTCCAGGCTACTGTATCCCATTCAGGAGTCTGATTTGTCTTGTGTACCCCCAAGTTTCACCTCACTTAAAAAGTACTTGCTTACCAAATCAGACATAAAAAACACAAAAGTGTCACAGCACATTATTACTGAAAAAATTGCTTACTTTCTCATTTTTACCATATAATTCCAAAATAAATCAATTGGAATATAAATATTATTTCAGTGTATACTATATAGAGCAGCTGTCTGTGTGAAATTTTAGTTTGTACTGACTTTGCTAGTGCTTTTTATGTAGCCGTTTGTAAAAGTAGGCAAATATCTAGACGAGTTGATGTACCCCCTCAGAAGACTTTTGCATACCCATGGTTGATAACCACAGCTCTAAAGTCAGATTATTGGCAACCGCTGGAGGCAGGAGCCTTACAGACAGGTTCATAATAGGGACTAATCAAAAGTTGCTTCTTCACATATGTACTTTAAGCAAGATATGGTGAAATAAATTTTTACATCCCCAGAATTAAGCTTACATTCCTGATTTAATCATAAGAAATGTAGAATTTCTAGCTGTATTAATCTGTACATTTCCTTTCCCCAGCAGCTTTCTCTTTAGCTTCCTTTTCAGCTTCCCCTTTCTGTGTTCCTTTCAGCAGTACTCACTGAGCAGCTGTGCATGTAAACACTTTGAATCAGTTCCTCTGCTGGTGTAAATCATTAGCCCCGGTGGAACCACGCTGCCTTTCACCAGCAAGTGGTGCGGTCCATCATATCTATCAGTTTAATTGTATGTATAGATACACTTTAAAAATCAGGTCAGTTTTTTCTAAGGTGTTGTCAATTTCTTTCTAGTTTAGATGCATTTGATCAAATTTATTTGGACATATTCCAATACCAGATAATATTTATGTGTCTTCTTCACTCCTCATTTGGAGTTTGTTTCCTGAACTGTCAAAAGTATATTATGTCACATCTCTAATATGATTTCTGATGTCATTTGTAATACGTCATTGATCTTTACCATATTATTAATAGTTATGTATTCATTGCATCACAGCTTAATTTCCTTTTTATAGCCTTTCATTTAAAGGAGTTTATTATATTGAGTTCCCAGATTCCCTCTAGAGCTGTATTGCAATTGGTGGCCATCATATCACACATCACCGCCCTAAATACGGAGATTTCTGAAGCATTTCAGTGCCAGATTCTGCATCAAGTGCGATGGGGTTCAGCTGCAGTGGCACTGAGTTCTTGTAGCATTTTAGGGTCTGATTTTCAGAACTGCTGAGTGTCACAGCTCCAGTTAAAGTTATGGATGCTTAGCACCTCTGAAAATCGGGTCCTTGGGACCCCTGCAGAAGACTGTCGTTAGGTATTTGTAGCTAGTAATAAATAACATTAGCACCCAGCAACACTAAACAGTTTAACTGACTACAAACTATTCAGTTTCAAGTATTTGCAATCTGTAAGGGGCCATTATTCTCTGTTAATGAAAAATACTGCATCCACGGGAAATTTCAAAGAGACTTTAGACAGGCACAATATTATTACTCAAACTGGAACTTGGTCAGGACACCAGGCTTACCAGCTTTGTTCACATGGGAAAAGCTAAGGGATCTTTAATGATCACCAGTAGTCAGGACCTTTCTTTTATGTCTCTGTCTAAAGGCTGCACCTCTAGAGTCCCATTTCCTGCTAATACTGTGCTGGGACATTAGCCCAGTACGGACTCGGGGGGAAGAACATCACCAAATAAGTCACTAGCACTTCGGTGGCACCTACATTTACCTTGAAGGCCTTTATCGAAGCACGAACCTTGCCTCATGTTGCTTTTCTTTAGATTGGACAGAAACACAGCTCACAGTAATGGCCTACCCTTCTCTACGCTTAAAAGTATAACTATGCTGGCATAGTTAAAGCAGCAACTCCCTCTCCACCTCCGAGTGTGTACACAATTATAGTAGTATAAAAGTGCTTATATCAGGATAGCTTTGCTTATTCCAGTTCTGGAACTGACCTATACTATTCTTATGTATATCTATACTGAAATAACTGTATACCTGGATAACTGTGGCCACAACTAGGGCTTTTAGCAGCTGGCATATTTATATTGGCAAATAAGCACACACATCTCAACCCCATATATGTACATGTCAGTAAAACTATGTAAGTGCAGGCCAGCCCTAAAACTACTGTGCAAGAAACAGTATACTTTTTAAGAAAAACAACATTAACAATTCTGAGAGCAAATGCATTTCCAGAAAGGATCCTTGATTTTAGAGAACCCCCAAAAGTTGATTAGGGAAATGGGTATTGGAATGGCCACTGCTTGTGATCAAGGCACATCTTGGTTGCAGAATATCAATGCAGAACTGCTACTAATGCCTCTGCCAAAACAGAACTTGGACTGGAGACAGATACAGACAGAAAGAAAAGCTAGGCTGCCTTAGGCCCTCTCCCTGAATTTCAGTTCTTATAAGAAAATCACAGACTTTTAGCACCGAGAAAAAAATTCTTGGGATTTCCCCCATCTTAATATTAAAAGCAAAAATCCTCTCATCCAAATTGTGGGCAGGCAGACTACTGAGTTTCAAACAGATACTAAGCCAGCTAAGTAATTTCCCCCTAATACGTCTGCCTGCCCCCAATAAATTCATGATTCTCACAGGTTTCAGAGGAACAGCCGTGTTAGTCTGTATTCGCAAAAAGAAAAGGAGTACTTGTGGCACCTTAGAGACTAACCAATTTATTTGAGCATGAGCTTTGAGCTGTAGCTCATGAAAGCTCATGCTCAAATAAATTGGTTAGTCTCTATGATTCTCAGTGTCTCTTGTACCGTCTTCTTCTATTCTCAGAGATTCCAAACTCATCTTCATGCACTCCGACTGGCATATCAAGAAGTGTGGGCAGTGCAAAGCACTACTCAGGTTTTCTTCTGAGACAACTTTGACCATTTGCTCTGGAAGGAGCTGCAAAAACATGACACACTAAAGTTCTTATTGGCTAATTAGTTGCTAAAAGGTCAAATACATACATGGAGAAACACTGGGATCCATCTTGTACAACCAATATGATCTTCTGTTGTTTTTTTACATTCCAGTACAAACTAATTGCAAACAATTCAGTTTCAATTATTTTAAATCTGTACGAGGCCATTATTTTCTCTGTTAATGAAGAACAATGAATTGATTCAAAATGTATGCAGATTAGATTCTATATCTCTTGTATGAATATTAATCAAACAGTGTAACTGTTAGTATTGCTCGATTCCAAATTGATTTACCACATTCCTTCAGATATTAAGTATGCATTGCTTTGGCATTCAAACAACTATTTGTTAAAACGATTACATTTAAGTTGAAATTGCAGGTACATGAAACTTTGCATCTGTAAAGTTCTTTCACAGTTATCATATGATTTGTTACACTATAATAGTAGGGGGGTCTACGAGTTTCCTGATTGGGGCGGATATTCATTTTCCTGTGTATTTTCAACTAATGCAAACTGTTGAATTCATTAAAGAGTAAATTCCAGTTTTCTCAAAAAATTTAATTGCAGAATTATGTACAGGAGATGAACATAAACAATACATAAACCAGTTGAAAGAGGCAACTTCATAAAAGAGCCTGGGGCAAAAGAGTGAAGCACATTTTCTTACAATCAGCTGGAGGTGAGTAGAGAATCATGAAAAGGAATAACTCAAGAATAAAACAATTCTCAAATATGTCTTCAAAATAACAAGTAACATTCTGGTAAAGAAGATATTACCTAGAAGCAAGAAATTATTGTAGCAATGAAACAGCATACTGTACATTCAATTTAGGTATCCTGCATGCTACTAAATAGAATTTATCAAAAGAACCATAAAAGCATGAAAAGAGAATTACATAAAATAGTTTAATTCTAGTGAAGTGTAGCTTTGTACAGATGGTGAATATTTGGCACTCAGTTCATCCTCATTGTTGATATGATTTCTTATGTATATATATTTATATATATATATATATATATATTTATATATATTTTAATGTTAACTAAACAGCTAGTTTCCTGGTTCTAACATTCCTTGAAATTTTATAGGAGGCATTTAATTTAGTCCTTAGGCCACACTTAAATATTTTGGCATGTTACATGGTAAATGGATGTAGGAGTTTCATCTCTGTACAGAAGAAACTGCACAGTCATAGTGTCTTTTCTTCAAGAAAGAACAGTTCTAGAGCAGTAGAAGTCACATGACTTCAAAGGGAAATTTTGTTAATTGAGAAAAATCGCTATATAAAATGGAGTAAAGAATACATACATGCTGAGCCCTTTTAAAGTGAGATGGCCATACTATTTAAACCTCCAAGGGGAAAATCAAAGATGGAATGAGGATGTGGATTCCACAGGTAACTATAAACAAAGCTAGTAGTTTTCTATGTAATGACAGTTTTCATAGACTTGAGCCCAGTTTCAAGCACTCTGTGGTGACTATGACCTAGCTGAAAGGGAAGATCTACTACAAAAAGATTTGTATGCGCTAACTTCCCCAGTAAGTGATTTCCACTTCAATAGGACATGCTGCATCAGATTCTGATCTCGGTTGTACTGGTACAAATCTGGCATAAGCTCTACGGACTTCAGTGGCGTTTATCAGTGTTTACATTAACGTAACTGAGATCAGAATCTAGTCCCAAAGCTAAAGAATATTTATCACATAGAGTTGGAGCTTTGATTGCAGTTCAGCCCCAAAGATGGAAACAGCTTTGTGTAGAATGAAAAACTAGAAACAGAAAATTCTCAAAATGGGCTATACTGATTTGTGGATTTTAAACATCTCTGTGGCAAAACTAATGAGCATGTCTTAAAATAAACTCCCATTCGTTCCTCGTTTAAATACTGTCTTGTCTGTCAGCTCAGTGTTAAAAGAGTGCAAGACTGTTTTGCAACAAATTACCAATTTAGAAATGTGACTACCAATGATTGTTAACTGCAGATATAAGGCTAGATTCTCATCTGGCATATATAGGCATTAATGTCAGTGGAGCTACAGGGATTTACACCTGCTGAGACTCTGACCCATAAAGCTCAATTCTGACCTCAGCGAATGGTAAAGGGTACAACACCCGTATCACCAAGGGCAAAATTAGGACCATAATGTCGTTCCCTAGTCATTACCTTTTATGAAAGGTGGTACATGTTTAGTAACAGAGGTTCTGGGATGTGTCTTTCATATGTAATGAAAACATTGTACTGGCCACATACAGTCATTAAGAATTACATTTATTTGTTTATTTTGTAAATACAAGGAGGTGTGTTAATCTCAGTATCCCAGAGAAATTCAATGTTGGGCAAGTTTCCTTTTTACTTTCACTTTTACACATAGTGTCCTGAACATACTGTTGTGTAGTGTTTCAGCTGCTATATTTCACCTCAGAGATGGATGCATTTCAGTGATGGACTAAGTGATCCCTATGCATCTAGAGAACTTAATTCTAGCTAGGAATTTGGGTGTGCACATGAGCATGCCACAAAAATGTGGCATCACTTATGACGGATGATGGCTGCCCCTAATCTGCCCCTGCCCAAATATTGCATAGAGGTTGTCTTATCAATCTTTCATAAAATGAACTGTTAGGGTCATAAAAGGTGTAATCAAAGAGCCTGGTCCACACACGTGCAAATGCCTGCTCTCTACATACAGTTTCAGAATATTTTATTTCTTTTTACTTCTACTTGTGGCCTTACTACAGTCCACAAGGGGGCAGCGAATAGAGCAGGTTTCTCCTATAATACAGGCATACATTGACTGCTTTTGCAGCAGATAGTCCAGATCATCCTCTGCTGAAAAAACCCATGGGAAGGAGTTCTGGTGGAGGAGATATCTGCTGAAGATCCCTAATGGAGATTCCTCCATATCATCCCTTGTGGGAGAGGGATGGTTTGCCTCAATGGAAAAGACTGAGAGGCGAGATAGAAAAAACCTGGCAAACTTGTACTACCCACATACTCTGTGCCTTCAGCGCTGGTTGTGGCTCCTTCGTGAATCATTATCCAGTTCCCTGATAGAATAGCTCCTAATGGACTCTCCCTTGGCCACAGTGGCCCTAAAGACTATCCAGTATGAAGGAGAGGCAAAGGCTATTTCTGAAAAGGTGCCATAACCTGAGGATGCACTCTCTCTTCTGCCTAATTTCTTGAGGGACAACCTGTGCATTGCCCCCACCCCTGTTATGGTCATTCCTTTCTCTTGACTCATCCAATTTCTACCTCTTCCTCCTCCAGCCCAGACCCTGGACTATGCAAAGAGGCCTCCATACTGTTCTGAGGGGATTATAAAACTCCCTTTTGGTGTGGAGGGAAAGAGGACATGGTCTAGCCCTACACCAGTTAAACCACTTTCCCTGCATGAGCCAGAATTTTGCCAACCCTTTGCAAACCAGCTAGTAAAGTGCTTTGAGATCCTTCTGGATGAAAGGCACTATATAAATGTAAGTGTTGACCTCCCATACACCAGAGAAGCACCACTCTGAATATTAAAGGAGTTACTGATATTTGTCACCTGAATTTCAATTTATGTGTGACAGCATTGTCTAGTGATTTGCTCTGAAAGCAGTGCGGAGGAATAACTGACTACTGTTGAGCATTTTAACTCAACTATCAATCAGCATTTCTAAAGCCCCTCTCACAGTGGACTTTATGCTTTTATACAATATTAAAGGAGGCAGCTGTACGTAATTTCCTATTGGATAAATTCAGCCTTCAGATTAACATGCACAACACACAATGCAGTCAGACAGGCCAAACTCTGGCCTCCTCCACTGACATTAATTCTGTAGTCCAGGTGTAAACAGGAACAGAATTTGTCTCAGAATGTGCTGCATGCAAATGACTGAGATAAATCTGGTCCTTAGTTTGCTAATATAGCTACCAAGTAGACTAAATACGTACCGGAATAAAACAGTACAGGGACCTAACACAAAGTTTACGTTCAGAAGAGTTGGCAATGAGCAGTAGAACTGGATAATGTGTGTTGTGAGAGAGGAATGAACAAAGAAGCCTAGGAAGAAAGAGAGGCTGTTGAGAAGCAAAAGTCAAAGAAGGATTCGGTGAGATTCCTGGTACATTTATGGCCGATAGCTAAACTACAGTGCATAGTCTCTTAGTAGTAAATTCTATCCCTTTCAATATCACCAGCTGAGTGGAAGTTTCCCCAATTTGTTGAATCAACAGTGTTAACGTAGTGAAAATTAGGGCACTGATTTACTGATACAGCAGGAGTTATGATTTAAAAAAAATAACTTGTGTTATATGAAGTGCATTATCTGTATGAAATCCACACACCTTCCTATTTATGCTTCAATTCTTTTCTAATTGACCTCAAATTTGACATACAGTGACAAAGTTTAAGCATGAACTAAAATGTAATTTTTGGTATTAAACTGTACAACATTTTCAGTTTTTACACACTGCCAAGGGCCATTCTGATCCAAGCTGTCAAGAAACAATAAAATGCATTTTAACTTATTTCAGCAATTTACAATGAACTTTAAATCTAAAAAAATATACAAAGCAAAAAATAAGTATAACACGTATCGAACCTTAAACCGGTCAGGTCTTGTTCCTACATCAAATATAATACTCTTGAGAATTCTGTTTATTATACTTGTGTTTTACGGACAACGAAATAACAAATGGTGGCTTTCTGTATCTTTCATCCTTTACGGATAAAATCTAGTATACAAATGGCCTAGCTAATGAAATATTTTGTTGTTATGAGAATTCTGACTTTTAAAGATGTTCTAAGTATCTGTAGAGCATGAAGTCGCTAAGAAAGAGATATTCAGCTACACCTCTACCCTGATATAACGCGACCTGATATAACACAGGTTCGCATACAACGCGGTAAAGCAGGCCCTCCCCCCCTCCAAGGTCTGGGAGGCAGGAGCTGTGCAGGGGCACTTCTGGGGGACCTGCAGGCCCAGAGTGGCCCGGGTGATTAGCGGGGGGCCAGAAGCAGCCTGCTTCGCTTCCCTCACCGCGGCCCCAGCCGTGTTGCTCAGGGGAGGGGGCTTGGTGGAAGGGATTCCCCCTCCCCCCCGCACTCATCGGCGTGGCGGAAGTGAAGCAGCCCAGCCCCAGCCCGCGGAGTGGAGAGGGCTGGGGCCACGTTGCTCCGCTTCCCGCTGCCGGCGGTGAGTGACTGTCAGGGGGTAGGGGTGTGGATGGTGTCGGGGCAGTCAGGGGACAGGGAGATTGTGTAGGGTGTGGGGTCCTGGGGGTGATTAGGGACGGGGAGGTCTCTGGAGGGGGCGCCAGGGGACAAGGAGCAGGGGGGCCAAAGCAAGTTCGACATAACGCGATTTCACATATAACGCGATAAGATTTTTTGGCTCCTGCGGACCGCATTATATTGGGGTAGAAGTGTATTATGCTAATAGAACATTGTAAGTTACTGAATTTTCTCCTACATGGTCCTGTAATCCATTCCTATGCATGAAATGAATGCAATTTCCAGATTTGACAGGACCTCTCTATAAGCGATAGTTACTGAATACTGTGTATCTTATAGCAATGATTCAAGCAGATCGGGTGTGACTGACTTTCAACACAAGTATTATAAACATAATTTTATTTTTTCCAACTAATTAGATGTACAATACATAGGTAAACATGGCTTATCATCTGCCTTTATTGATAGAATGTTACCTGCACAACAAGTTGAATATATTGCACTTAAAAATGTAACATGCACAGATAATATTTTATCAGATTTAGCAGTAGGCATCTATTTTACTTTTAATTCTTCTTCTTTGGAACAAAGAGATGGAACAGACAGGGAATCATACATATCCAAAGACTCACGGTGAGCATATTCCCATCATTGCATGGACATTGTAAAATTTAGGGTCTGATTTGCTCACACAGGTCTGTTTTAGCCAGACATTTAGAGTCCAATTTACTGATGACATACTAACATAAAATACCCCAAAATATTTACCAAAATCTGATGTGTAATTAAAACCTTTATGGACTGCTCCAAGTCAACATTATAACATAATCTGGTATCTAAATTTAACACCTAGTCTAATTTTTACAATTGGACTTTACAAGTTCTGAATACTGACAGGTCAAATGCTGTTTGCCTTAATCATGTGATCCCTTTGTTTTATGTGGGATTACTGAAGTGAATAAAACAAGTGTGATTTAGCCTGGAAGTATCCAAGGAAATGAGATAAAACATATCAGGTGCCATAAATATATATATAGGTCTATTTTAAATTTCCTACATCTAGGAAATACACTGGCTTTATTTTCATGTGGATAGTTCTAATTCGCAGCTCCACTTAACATTAAATATCACTTTTAAAGACTAAAGATGCCAATAGGTATTTAACATTTGTATTTAAAATAGTACAACAAATATAGGAAGCAGCATCAATATTGTACACTACCCAGGATTCAGCTCTTTCCGTATACAGAAAACGCTTTGAACACCCTGGGGGGTGAGGGTATACTAAGTTTTCATTTATATAAGAATATTTTAGGGAGGGGTTTTTTGTTGTTGTTGTTTTTGGAAGGATATACATTCATCTTGGTTTTTGCTTCCAAATATAGTTTAAGGCTATTTGGTAAAATATATACCAGATATCAGGCTCAATTTACAGAGTTTTCTCCTTACAGAAACTTCTCAGCTATTCAACTCTAAAGATTCATATCTTGAAGCTAAACATGCTTATATCAGCTTTGCTCCAAAACCAGAACTCATGCTTAACAAAATGCTCAGAAGGAAAAAAAACAAAGAAACTATCCCCAGATTTGAAGCAATGTCAGATCTATGTAACCTGTGTTACTTAATGTTCTCAGTCATGTGGCAGGCTGCAGGGTGTACCAAGTACATATTTAAAGTGCTCATCAAGGTGAACAAACCAAAGTGCTGGAGTATAATTAAGTAGCTGTTCTGCCTATGGCGAAGTACGTAGTATTTGTTAAAGCAGTAAACAAAAAATGAGTTAGTTGGGATGATCTGTGCCATAGTATTCAGAGTAGCAGCCGTGTTAGTCTGTATTCGCAAAAAGAAAAGGAGTACTTGGGGCACCTTAGAGACTAACCATAGTTGTAATACTCTTTTGACCTAGAGCAGGAATCAGAACCCTGGTATCAGGATCTGTGGGTTATATCTTTTATTACATCTTTATCTGAAGATGTCTAAGAGCTGGGATGCTCAATTATGTCTGGGAAGGTAGATGAAGTGGAATAATACAATCTAAATTTATTTCAAATGAACATTTAAAGCCTCTTGATTGTCATGGTTCCTACTTTTCTCTTGTAATAATCAGAGGCTTGAAAAAATTACTTTCCTTATATTCCATGTCTGGAAGTCATTTTACAATCAAATCATTCCTTTAAGTCTGACACAAGCAAGAGAATCATCTTGCCTTAACTGATACTGCATAGGAAAAAGATTTCTGGAAAAAAAATGTAAACCACAGTTCACCTTTACCTTAAGATAACCATTTAAACTTAGATATACTTACCACTCACATTCATATTTCTTAAATTGGTTACAACATCACAACTGGCATTTTAAACAAGCAAATATTTTTTTCAAGGATACCCTGGAAACTCAATTGATATAGCATTTTGAGAGTTTAAAATATCACATGTAGCATAGCTTTTGAAATTAAAGAGAGAAGATTGTTGGTAAAATAAAAAGTTAACACATAAAAGAACTGTTAAAATGCAATGAGTGTTCCAAAGGAGTAAGTATAACTGTTCTCTTTACACATCTTGCTACAGAAGATCTAACTTTTTAAGGCTTCCACTTTCCTTTCCCCATCACTCAAGTTTTCTTGCATTATAATTTTGCTTTGATTTCTGAATGTCGTTATACTGGTATCACAAACATTTCTCAGTGGGCATTCCCAATAGGACCAGGTTTGTATGCTTCTTGGTTCCTGATGAACTTCGGAGTTTTAGTGGCTGGATATTCCTGTTCATCTCCAGAAACTTGACTTGACATGAGAGGCCTAATGTTATTCTGCAGTAACAAAGATGGGTAGAATGGCAGAGCACATGGGCAAATATTTTAGCTGGGTTCAAGGAAAAGAAACTGGAGGTCAGAGAGATAAATGGGTTCTTTCTTTCCTGCACTTCACATTTGTAGCACCTTCTACTTGTATTAGCTAATGCCTCTAGTGAATGGTGAGATGCACCCATTTATAGTTTGTTATTCTTATCCTTAATTATCACACAATTTATAAAAATATAAATAACAAAAAAGTAAGCTGGGTTCCATCTCAAGAGGTGTTTCTTGTTGTCCTCTGAGAACATATTGGATAAGTCAGGTCTCAACAAGCCCTATCCATTGTAGCTGATTGTAAGTCAGACAATAAATACAAAAAGAAGTAGTTCTTGCAAAGAGCTCAGCAAACTCTGAGGAAATCAAAAGCATTCCACTGTGCTTATGGCACAAAGAACACAACAGCAAGGGCATATTCAGTGGAGAGAATGAGAAAAAATTACCAGGTAAGTGACAAACTGTACAAGCATTTGTTTTAAAAAAGGACACTCTGCAGCGCTCTGTCTTTAAAGCCGGGTTTGGGCTTCTGGGATATAGATCTCAATGCTGTCTGCCCGCTCTGTGGCTGAATTCTGCCGAAAGGAGGCTGCTCTCTTAGCAGCCATTAGTCGTCTTCTGGCTTCTTGACGTTGTCTGTCAGGTAGGTCGAGAGACTTTTCTCTCGTTATAGGGAATTTTCCTTTTGGGGGCTTCTTTGGTACTGGAGGAGGAACCTTCCTTTCTTCCTACAATGGTTATTGAAAATTGAAAAGTGAGTTAAATGTGAAAGGCACCATATCAATAAAACATGCACATTAGAGAAATGTCAATTGAAAAAATACTTGTCACACAACTAATAAACATGCTCAATTTATACTCTGAGATGAGCTAATTAATGTAAAACATTAATCACCATCAGTTCTGGGGACTCCGGGGGGGGGGGGGGGCGGGAGGGACCAGCTATTGCAGAATCCAGTGCAAATTCCAATGCATTGCATTGCAGTACAATAGCACAGTATAAAGAGTGAATCTCCATTTACTCTCATTGCAGGTACTGTACACATGCATGCTGCAAACCTCACTTTCATGTTTGTGATAATTTTATTTTACCTGGCACATCATTATATCCATTATGTTCAGAAGCACAGGCTGATAAGAACTCAGTGTATCTGGATGTTCTGGTCCAATGAAAAGCCTGTCTAAGATTAGCAGGACAGGATTTTAATTAAATTAATCATACTGAGTTTAGCCTCAGCTGGGTATGAGATAGCAGCTGTGTATATATCTCTATTAGTTTAGTCTCCTCTCTGAATTGCAAAAAGGTAACGTACAAAAACAAACTAGACAGATGGAAATGTAGGGCTAATTGTTCCATACATCAGCCCAGAATACCTTAAAAAAATCATATTGAGAAATTATTAGAATATAAAGTGATTCTTAATACATGTTTGTATAATGCTTGTGGTAGCTCAATTCTGCAGCTATTAAGCCTGGTATTGTTTTGAAAAATGAAATGCAGATTTTATTTCAAAATTTGGATCTCCTATTTTGACTCATTTGCTGAGTGGGACTGTGAACTGAAAGCTTTGGATGATATGTATCCTCCTGCATCAGTGGCATTGTTATCATGATGCAGCTTTCCGCCATTAGTACATGTTAATGCTGCAATAATTATCGATACAGTGGGTCACTATTTACATAGGACACACTGGTAAATTGTTAATTTAATCCACTGCAAGACCTATGTCATAAAGATCTTTTGAGGGGCATGAATTGTGTAGGTTTTCTTATTGCAACTGGTGAACCTAATAGTCAAATGCACTTATCACTGGTTAGATTTTACAGTATTTGGCAGTCTTGTTCCAACTTTCCAAATTAAAGGACTTATTGCAGAGTCCTGAGAGGGGACACAGGCACCGTTCTTCCTGAAAGCACGTTCTGCCAGAATACTTTGTTTTTATTTGCTATTTTCAGCCAGGAGCATTACATCCCAGTGCCCTTCCTCCCATCTTCTCTCTCTTTACTAGGATTTAGTTTCCTCCTTAGACAATCACCAATGCTGCCACTATAATCATCTTTTACTTTCACCCCCACCATCAGCAAAAGCGAAACTCCCTACCCACCAGCTACCTGGCCAAGCAACTCAAGATGAGGAGCAGGCAGTTATACTAAATGCCTGAAGAAGTGAAAGAGCACATCAACTTCTGACAAGATGCCTCCAGTCGCATTCCAAAACCAAATAAGTATTCAGTTGGGGCCAGCTTCACTGACTCTAAGCTAAAGACACCCTCCCTGTTTGTACAATATTGTAATCAGCAGAGATGGAGCCAGGAGCGTAAAGAAGAAAGCAGATACACAGCAATATTGCCACTGTGGCTCATTTGCAATCTGTGCTGCTACTGGTGTGAACAAGGGGGACTGCAGGGATGTGGAGCCTGAGAGCCCAAGTGCAGACAGCATGAAATTCACAAGGATGCAACCTCTATCCACACAAGGTTCACAGGCTGATCTGCAGTCCTCGAGATTCTCAGAGGGGATGGTGCACAGCCCCAGAGAGCCAGAGATCTTGGGGAGTCAGATCTCCCCATTAGGAAGGAAGTAGAGGATGCAGTCCCCAGATATTAACTGCTCACAGTGTGACAGCATGAGGGACTTTATTTCAGTTGCATTTTCAATCTGAATGAATCAGAGCATCTTTCAATTCCAATCTGCTCCTAGTCATTTGTTATCAGAATTCAAGGGGCCAAATGACAGTGACTAGGCACAGGGCTATTTATACCTTTATTATTTATATCTTACAATTTAAACCAAAAATGGGAGAAGAAAGTAAAAATAAACCTCAAGGCCCTGATTCTGGACAGTGTCGTCTGTTGATGAGGCAATGGAAAATAGTCACTTTCTATTTTCAGGTTTGAAACCAATCACTTTCTGGACTGACTGTAACACCAGGAGGACTTATCACTATAATCTGAAGGGAAATTTTATTGTATCTGGCCTGCTTACCTTCCTTTCAGGTGATTCTATTAGTTTCCATTCATTGAGTTTCAGCTGGTGCAGTTCATCAAACTTCATGCTGACGTCTTCAATTGAAAGCTGCAATAAGTCCCAGAATCCTGCTAGGTCCTGGGAAGTTGGCCTTGGCATGGCACTGGGGTCCTGACATATGCACAATAGAGAAAATATAAATAGACCGGAAGCCACTGAACAACGTTCTTTAAAGCACCTTTGTATACAGTTGAAAATGCCTGGTGACCATTTCTATTGTTACAGTGATACACAGTGCTAAGGCAATGTAAATTATGAGGCTGGGAACTGTGACTGAAAATATGTGCCTCGCATACAACCCCAAAATCTATGAGTTATACATTATACACTGATTCTTGTAGCTTGTGCAGATTCTTGTGCAAAGCTGACCTGCACTTCTAAAATGTAGTAAGCTGTCATACAGACTATGTTTGCGGATCATTACAGAGGAAGGAGAACATGAGAAACCAATTTTTTTTATCCCACTAGTGATATCTGAGTAGAAGACAAAAATAATCATGTTATGAATTAATTTCGAGCTTATGCTTACTGTTGCTATTACATTTTCTCAGGTCTTAGGGTTTATGTACAGCACAAATATCTTATCTAAGACATTTTAAAAGTTCTATTGGTTGGTCCCAAAAGGGCTGGGCAAGCTCTTCCCTCAAGATATTTTGATTAGGTAGTTTCTATGCCAAGGGCAGGCAGTATGACTTAATGGACAGCCAATAATAGTGGTAATGAATTGGCCTGAAGACCCTTCATCTCATTATGAATCCATTTGGGTACTAAAGGGAAATTATATAAGAAAAGCTATTATGGGGACATAATCCTTTGCTGTGTAGGCATTTTCTTGAGAGTGCTATTCCAGGCAGGGACCAGCTGGACAACTTTAGAGAGAGATGGCCTGAGTGGTAAGGATCTCTGTGAAGACAGCAGTAAGGAATCTTTCCCTCTAGGCCTCAGAGCAGCCTTGGAGACAATCTACAACCACCACAGTAGACCTTTGCCTGCAGCAGCCTCCACACACACTGTAGCCCAGTCTGTGGGGAGTCAATGGCTTGTGAATCTGATAAGAAGGGGGAAGGACATCCCCCTTCATGAGTAGGTCTCTAATTAGTTCACTTGAAACCCCGCCTTTCGCTGCTAAAGGAAGTATCTTTTTTTATGGGAGCTCAGTGGATTCAGTGGAAACTTCCTGTGGGGAAAGATGACGTTTAGAGGGACTTAAAACATTTAATTTAAAAATTGTGTCTATTCCAACATAATTTGTAGCCTGTGTCCAAGTAAGTCACAGGAGCCAGATCCTGAACTGGTGTGTAAACTGGTGTGACTCCACTCATTTTAAGATATTGGTCCCCTATATGCAGTCCACGTCAGGTGAGTCTTGTGGCAATGTACAACATTTAATATAGCTTTTATTTCAACCTGTTCTTCCTCCATTACAACACAGCCTTCTCAATCCTTCTTGTCATTTTCCCAATTTACATTACAGACCCATAAGAAGATGCCTGCTGGAGGCTACTTATTGGGCGTTGTCATCCCCTTCTGAATTGAAGGCAATGGCTCTTCTGTACACCCAGCTCTGCGCATACCTATTTCAGTACAGTATATTTTCCAACATAGCTGCTGTTGACTGGAGCTTGTTTTGTATTCTCTGGACCACAAGGGGGCTGCCTCCTGCTGCTAATATGTATAAATCAATAATGTACATTATTTTCGAAGGGTAACCCCAGCCAAAAGGACTAATATTAGAAACATCTAAGCTTGGAAAAGCCTTGTTCAAGTTTGAATTTATTCAGCAACTTTTCATTTGTTTGTATCTAATTTTGAATTCAGGCTTTGCTTCTAAAACTAGATTATTTATGACTGCAGCCTTTATCCTGCAGGGAGCAAAGAACTAACAAAAAGGGCCTTGACAATGCTTATGTGTTTGTCTGCTGCAACCATGACACCCTTGAGTGTGATCTCATTAGATCTCACAAGCTGAGCAGGATCAGTGCTGAATAGAACATTGGTGAGGAATCATCAAAGAAAACTCAGCAGTTACAAACACTGGTGCAGGTGGTTGTGTAGGGAGCAGTAATGAACCAACAATGCTCTTTCTAGTTGTTAGTATGGGCCAGATTCTCAGCTGATGTAAGTTGGCATATCTCCTTTGAAGTTGAAAGAGCAATGTGATTTACACCAGTTGAGAGTCTTTTCTAAGAGACTTTTAACCAAGAGCTTGACCAATTGTGCTACTCAAAGATCTCAGAGCACTTCTCGCAAGTCTAAGGATGAGGGTTCATTGTCTTAGATAAATTCTTTTTTGGGTAATTACATTCTGTCTTCCTAAATCCTCACTGTAGTTTCAACTGGTATAAGGTGGAATTTTCCCACTTCTTGTCTTAAATATTTATTTAGTCTTATTGTGTGCTGTTGGAAAGCTGCTGTGTTCTACCCCAAAGAGAGGCGATTGCATTTAAGTGGTGGATTTAATGCTAAATGATCTGTATCTGGCTAAGTTCCCCACTGATGTCAGTGGGGTGGGATCAGGACCATACACAATATTCAAAGTAAGACATTTTTTAAATGACTTTCTCAGTAAGACTTTGGATACAATTTTCAAACCCTGGATGTTTAACTTTGTAGGTGACAAGCAACAAAATGTGCATCTGCAGTGTGAATATACTGTCATGCCTTTAAAAGGTTATTCAGTAAATATTAATGAATGATCAATTTTGTATAGCTAGTCACCTAGGTCATGTCTTCTGTGACACAAGCTACAGAATTTAGCACTTTTTAAATAGAAGCAGAGAGGGAAACAAAAGGTAAAGATTGTATTCAATGTTGAAAATGAACCTGAGGAAGTAGGAATGGGTTTATCACAAAATGTACTTCACTAGAAGAATGATGTTCTTGTACAGATAAATATCTTGTACCAACAGTTTCCATATCCCTGATAGCAGTTGTCATATTATATTAATGAAAATAACATTTAGAACTGAATTAGACTCTTGGGGACTTCCAAAACAATCATTTTACCAGATAATGCACTGGAGCTCCTCTAGCTCTAGGACTTTTTATATATCATTGGCTAGGCAAAATATGGGGCCCAATGCTGTAAGCACTCCATGCGTTCATTTCCCATTGACTTGACAGGATCAGACCTGTATATATGTAATTATATAACCGAAACACATGCCAATTCTGTTCTCTTTGTACTGCAACTTTAAATCAAGGGAAGTCTTCTCTTCCCTACTACTAAGGTGGCTGCCATTCTCAGTTTAGATACAGAATATTACAAAATGAAGTCACTGTGTTTTCTGTCTCACAGAGAGTTTATATTTGTTTATTTTCTTTAATCTGAAATAAAAGTTGCCTAGCCTGAAATTACGTTTACTCTGTGGGAAAAATAAGAAGCTCCATTCTATATTTTTATGGCCAGACTCAGCTTAAGAAGAAAAAAAGAGAGTTCTAGGACAAATAAGGGCCATGGGAACCCTCCAAAGTGAAACGGCAGGACTTGTACAACTTTATGCAGGTGCAGTAACTAGATGGTTAAATTTGGCTCTGAACTGGAATGTTAAAACCAATTTTTTGTGGATCAATGTAGGTATCAACTTGCTTAAACTATCCAGTAATATGTATGCCATGCAGTTGTAGCTGCCAGTCCCAGGATATTGGAGGGATTAGAGAGAGGTGGGTAGGGATATTGACTTACCAGATTCTGTTGACAAAGCCAATAAAACTGCTGGAATTTCTGAGACATAAGGAGCTGAGCACTTCCAACAGCACTTCGGATCTTACCTAGAACTGAACAAGCAGACAGGTTTTTGCCAACCGGTGTCTTTGAAGCAATGTTAATGCAAAACTGTGATGAGATACAAGTACTGAGTTGAACTCCTATTATTTCAGAATATTAGTAACTATTTTGTTATGTTTTAGAGACTATGTAGACAAACTACTTCTGAGGAAGATGCAGTTATCAGAAGACTCTGAGGCTGTGTATAGCATTATACCCAACCTCCCTGCTCCCCTGGCAATAATAAACAATACATTACTAATTGGAAAGAATGCAGGGACGGTTAACGTAGGAAAAGAGGGCAAGCCTAACACTGTCTCCACTTCCTAGGAAATCAAAGATTTGAGAAAATATTAAATAACTTGCTGAGGCAGGCACTCAGATTTTAGTTTTAAGGCAAACCTTGATTTATACAGTAAATGACAAAACCAAAGCTCAGTCCCAAGGGTCATCATTCTGAAGTTATTTTAGCAAATGCTTTAGTCCCTATCCAGCAAAGCACTTAAGTATGCACTTAACTTTAAATACTTCAGCAGCCCATGAAAGTCAATAAGACCAGTGGATTGTCACAAGCACTGTTCTAAATTGTTATTCAACTCCACAGTCCATCAGTTTTTCTAACCTTATCTCACAAGCATCATCAGGCACAACTAACAATCTGGAGCTCAACCCAATAATATCTTTACTCCACAGTGGAATATGATTTATTGATGATGCTAACAGGCTTGGGATCAGGGCCTAAGAGCACATCGTAGGCAGCAGGGCTCTGTTAACTAGCCAGGGCTTATTCCATGCATTAACATTCTAGTAACTAATTAAAGTACTACATCTTTCTAAAGCACAGTCTCTATAAAATATTAAGTGCTAGCTCATGTGTTAATATCTTAAAATAAAATAATTATGAATCAAGAACAATATTGTATTAGTTTTCCTTAAAACATTGTTTTATACTGAAAAGAGACTTTGTAAAATGGCATTCACAAAAACAACAAGGAGTCCGGTGGCATCTTAAAGACGAACAGATTTATTTGAGCATAAGCTTTCATGGGTAAAAACCCCACTTCTTCAGATGCCTGGAAATGCATTCTGGACTTCTTTGTTAATTGTCTTTGAATGATGTTAATACTAAATTTGCCCAGTTTATGGGTAAAAAGATGATGCCTGCCTTGTAAACCCAGTCTGGGAATCTCACAATCAAAATGTTCTCTCTCCTGGTGAAATCCAACCCCCACTGGAGTTTTGCCATTGATTTCAATGAAGCCAGGATTTCATCCTCTACCTCTGAAAGCTCAAATGATAAAGATCCTTCACTCGGAACTACACTAACAATTCTGTGGATGCTGCCCCGACCCTGATCAGAACCCAGTACCCTACTACAAGAACCTCAGAGGAACCTGAGCCTGAATGCCTCCCAGAGATCTTCCTGGAATGGTGCAGGTACATGTTGACCCATACTTAGGACTATCCATAAAGGCCCAAATTAAACAGAGCACCTAAGCATATGAGCTTACCTTAGAGACTAGCAAATTTATTTGTAGCTCACGAAAGCTTATGATCAAATAAATTTGTTAGTTTCTAAGGAGCCACAAGTACTCCTTTTCTTTCTACCAAATTCAGTAAACCCTACTATACTGATTTGTGCCAGTCTTGTAGAGGTCTAGAATGATATTTCAGCAGTGCTAGAAACAAAGGACTGAAGCAGATACTATATCAGAAGTACACTGCAACACATCACCTTTCAAAAGTTAGCTCTTAGCAGGGGGTAACATGTTATAGCACTGGGATTGGTGAACCAGTATGTATTATTAAGAGCCTACCTTTTGCTACAGTCTTTCTTAACTTTATTTACATTTAAATAAGTAAATCATACTTAGAAAGTTATAACAAGTGAGAATCTCTCTTATTCATGTTTCTCAGCTTTACTGTAATTAAATTAAGTATTGAAATACTTCAGTTCATAATCTTTAGCACAGAATTAATACACAGCCAAAACCTTGTTATTAATTTCATGCATTGGGGAGTTATTCTGATGAGTGCAGATTGATTATCTCCATGAAGGGATGATGAATGTTAGAGACTGTAGAGGTTGAGATGTTTGTAATCCGTAGAAAGAATTTTGCTAATCAATGAACGATGATGAAATTAACCAACATATCTATCAATTCCATATAAGAAAAACCTACTAAGAGAAAATCAAGGTTGTACAGTTAACCACTCAAAAGTCAGGAAATGGTCATGCAACTTTAGCTCTGTTCCCTCATGAGTGTGAATTACAATACACTCTTTAATTAATTAACTAATCTTCTCCCATTGAGTACCACTATTTAGGACCCTGCTCGTGCTCCATCTGAAGAGAATGGGAATTGTACCACTGACTTCAACAGGAATAGGTTCAGGGCTTATAGAGAGATTGTGAAAGTTATTTGTATACAAGATGCACAAATAATGCCACAGAAACTTTTCCACATGGACCAAGCATGTTATAATACTGCAGAAAAAAATCCTGTGTGATGCTAGATCATATTATTTGGGATATATGATGTAATCATACAATCGAATACAGTTCTATATCACATGTGCACAAAGGGGTAGATAAAGGTTATACAGATTTACACAAAAGTAACCATGATTCTGCTTAAGCGCTACTCCCCGTAGGTTAAAATAGTTCTGCTCAGTTGCAGTCGATATGATAATAATGAGGAAACTACCAATAATAAATGTGTTACTGAACCTCTTAAAACACTATCGTTTTTTAATTCTCAGGCATTAACATCTAAGTTATAAAAAATACATATATATGAAATCATAATTCTATATGAAAGTTGTCATTTTGATTGTAATCTACTTCTAATTTTTTGTGCTTGTGAGTAAATTATATTTAGTACTTACTATATAAATTTTTTTTAAACTTAAATCTTCTTACTGAACTGCAAACCTCGTTCACAACACACATGTTTTTTAGCACTATGTATAGGTTTGTTAGTCTGGGATGGCATTTTATTGCAGCACAAGTTGTGTCAGTTAAAAATGTCAAATAGTGTAACTGTCAAATATGTCTATTTTAGTTCAATAAGTTGTATAACCATGAGAATGGAAGATTAAAAATATATGACATATGTCAGTGGGGTGGTTTGGAAATCAGAACTAAACCTTCCTCTACTGAGTCAGTGGGAGTTTTGCCATTGACTTTAACAAGCACAGAATCAGGCCTATGCCATGAATCTTACATAATTGATAAAGTACACTACAGAGTCTTGACTACACACCAAACCATTGACATTCTAGCTGCTTTTTAAAAATGAAAGTGGGGAGCCGCTGTCTCAAATCTGCAGTGAAATCTTACAGGGCACGCTCAAAAGCACGACACACTTAATTTTAGCTTGAGTAATCCCACAGCTTTTCATGCTATTGAGATGTTACCTAACTGACAAATTTCCATGGAATTAATCTTACATTATGTCTACTGTCACAAAAGTTGCACAATGGAATCCTTGTGAACAGAATGAGAATATATGTAGATCCACTTTCCAGCTAACTGAAGGAGGATTCAAAGAGGGGGAAGATATAGGCAGAACACTTAATGTGCTAAGAGAGATTCTTAGATTCCTTACACAGTGTTTTATTGGCTTTAAAATACTGTTTTGGGGAAACAAAGATATTCTTTAGCCATTTAATTTTTTATTTAAATTCCAACAGATGCTGATGGACTGGATACCTGAACAGGAAAGGGAAAATATGTAAGTAAGCTTTTTAGTTAAAATAAAAGTATAACTTTTACTTAGAATAAGACACCTGGAAAGCTTTCTTATTAATTGGTGGACATAACAAAATATACTAATTGAGATTTTCAGAGCAGTATAGTGGATTTAGCCACACCTCTTTCATTAATTTTAATATATATTGCTAAATTTCCTGCACTGCTTGGGAAATGTGAACCATTTCATTTAGGAAATGTGTCTCCAAAGCATGGATTCAAGATGAACAAGAGCCCAGTTGCAGACTGAGCTTGCTCCCCTCCTGTCCAGGCATCAAGTATTATGCTAATCCCTTCATTGGGAAAGCAATTTTCCCCTCCACTGGGCAGTGTTAGCTTTTAAAAGCTCTAGAGGGCTGCATCCAATTTTCATCATTGTGGGGAAGGGTCACTTCACTGTGGCCCAAGACTGCTGTGGTGAGAAGGGAAGGCAAAGTAAACTTGTTCATTTCTAATGAGAATCTTGCTTTGCTACTGTTAGTATTTGTAACATGCTGCTGGGGATACCCAGAATTGTGAGACACTGTGTTACCTCTCTTCCTCAGCAAGAGTGAGCTTTGCTGGCAGTTAGACTGTGTGTCAGCTCCCGGTCACCCTAATCTGTCTCCTTCACCAGCAAACTGCTCCAGGCTTGCCTGGCCCAGATCTTGCCTAGCAGGTAACGATCAATAAACTTCAGCCCGAGTGCCTCAGAGATGTTTCTCTGCAATGCACAGCCCCTACCACTGTGCATCCACAGACAATATTAAGATTGCTGCTCTGTTAATTAGTCAGTACATCACATCTTATTAATTTAACTGGGGTAGATACACCCTTCCCTTCAAACACAGCACAGAACTGGCTTATAATAAATGTAAAACAAGTTTACTAACAAAAGAGCATGGATTAAGTGATACCAACTAAAAGAGATAAAAAGTAGAGATAGTTACAAGCAAATAAAAGTGAAAACATGCATCTGAAAGTCTAAACTTTAATGTAGCAAGTTACAGTCTTTGTTCAAAAAGGTTTATTTTACCCCCAGTCTCTTACCCAACTTTTTACTGGCCAGGACATATCACAGATATCAAATCACTTGGTTTCTTTGTCTCCTAAGGTGAAGGATCAAGATGGAGTATCTCTGTGTTCCTTATATCCCAAAGGGATGTCTCTGTCTTACAAGTCAGGACGGCCTCCTGGGGGCTCAGTCTGCTCTCTCGAGTTCAGGACCAGGATAACCCCTGCTAGTTTAGCAATGGCTTTGTTTACTGCTAATATGTA